ATGGTAAAAGTTGGGGGAAAAAAATTCCTGTTAGCCAGGAAGAGTTGTCCTTTCAAATATACCTTCTCCTATCTTGTAAAGTAAGCCATTGGAGATGGGTTTACAGGTTTATAGTACAGAGCCCCCACTTGGCCTGGGTGAGGGAAAAAATTCTTAACGTACAGACAGCTATAGGACAGAAAGAAGTGGGAACACACAAAAGGGAAAAGTATGAGTTTAGTGTTTTTTGTTTTTTGTTTTAAATTTCCTGGCTTGATGAAGGGCTGGAGCATAGGTCTTGAGCTTTCTTCCAATGAGTTATCTTGAATGTTCCCCATAAAGTATTTGCTTTTGTGTGGAATAATTTTCTAATCAGCCACGGTCTACTTCAGCCCATATTTTTAGGTGCCACCACTTAGGTTTTTAACTTTGAACTTCTTCTTTAAATATAGCATACATGGAGAAAACTGTGCACATCCTAAGTTTACAGCTTGATGGATTTCTGCGAACCGAGCATGCCCATCCAAACAGCAGCTCAATCAAGTGCTTTAGTGGTGTCTAGTCATTGGCCCCAGTATGGTAAAATTATTTGTGCCTGTTTTTAGACTTTATGTAAATGGAATCATACTCTATGTGCTTTTTGGTACCTGACTTCTTTTGCTCAACTGTATATTTTGTGAAACTCATTCATGTTGTGGCTCCTCTCCTTAATTTTTATGCTTCTTAATGTTTTCTTTCCTTTCTCTTCAGATAAACCCTTGGCTTTGATGTGTCACCTCCTTGATTCAGTGTTGACAGTCATGACATGTACATAGTAAGTCAATCCTCACGGTGGCCTTTGATGGCTGAGGCTGTCCCTGCTCTTTCAGCTCTATATGGTTATCTGGAATGTAACTGTGCTCCAAGCAGCCTAAAGGCTGTATATCTCTAACTCATTAATCTGTGCCCACTAGCTTATAGTTTGACTAATGGTAACCTCTTTGAGATTTCAGCAGAACACTGACCCTGGGGAAACAAGGAACCAGGGGTTCCCAGAAGATCAAATTTGACCATGCTAGAAAATAGCCAACCCTGACACCAGCTTGTGTGCTTGAGATCATGTGGAGAATGCTTCCCCTGTACTTTGACCCTCCCTACCTCCTTGGCCTCCCCCTGAAAAAACTCCTGCTTGCTCCGGGACTTTGGGGATGATCTTTGGACATTAGTCTACCATCTTCCCAGGTTGCTGACTTCCTGAATTAAGCAACCTTTCCTTTCCAACCAACACTTGTCTCTCTGAATATTGCCTTTGGATCCAAGAGCAGACGAACTTGGGTTTCAGTAACAGGAAGAACCCAGAGCTAAGAAGAGAGGAAGTCAGTATCAGTGAACTCTGCCCTGCAGCATCTTTTCCTTTAACATTCTTCTCCTCTCTCCAACCCATTGCAGTCCAGTTCTTCAGGTAGTGGGAGTGTGGTAGATGCCCATTACACCAGCCGGGTTAGATTTTATGGCAATGCTTTTCCAAACAGGACTCACTTTCCTCTCTATTTAGGGAGGGAGCAGTGGAAGGATGTGGTCTAGGAACAGATTATCAGCTTTCATAAAGGAATGGCTTGTTTGGTAATTTGTTCATGATTTTTTTTCCCGCTTCTGATGAGCTTGCCCATGAGAAATGAAATAATATTTATAAAATATATAAATAACTTTAACATTTTTTTTTTTTTGAGATAGAGATTTAAACTGCATAAGCACACAACTTAGATGAAACAACGCAAGGGCTTTGATTCATTCAAGTTTGGGCAATTGATTTTTTAAAGATTTTTTTTCCAGGTCCCTTTGCAGAATGAAATTTATAATAGTAGCTCTGTAATTTTGTAGGTCATCTTTCTACTAAGTACTAGTCAAATTCATTCATCTTCCTGTACTCTGCAGAGATAAAGCCAATAGCCGAGTTTGTCAACTTCAAACGCTAATGCAGTATCAAGAAAATCAATAGGGTGTCTCACCACTCTTGCAACTTATTCTTCTGGCCTCAAAGGCAGAGAATATTCCCTGGAAAGAAGTCAACTCGGATTTTTAAGTTACAGCTAAAGTGGTTATAAAACAAGGTATTTACAAGATAATTTTGCATCTCTTCTGGTACTTCCTTATATATTATAGTCAGTATTTGCCGCACTGGGAGAAATTTAGGAGGAAGCAGAGTAATTAATGGTGGCTGTGATTTTAAATGCCAAGGGAGATACAGACACTTCTATAACTCTGTAGTAACTGCAGGAAGGCAAGGCCGGGTGGTGTAACATGGTGCAAGGAGTGGTGAATCCTTTTGGCAGATCCCCTCTTCACATTCAGTGACACTAGCTGACTGTTTGGAAAAACCCCTCCAGAGGCAATAGTTCATTCAGAGAGGTCTCTTCCATTCTCCTTTTCTTGGGGCATGAGAACCATTTTGACTTGCAGCATGAAATGTTGAAAATTCTCTATATGCAGGCACTAAAAATTCCCCAAATACCACACATAAAGGTCAAATGGATTAGAAAACCCATTCTTTGAAGGCTTAAGAGGCAGAATATTGGTGAGAAATTTTAATTATTTTGGGACAGATGCTAGTAAGGGCAGCTTAATCGGAATGATGGGTTAGATGAAAGGCTGGGGCTCCAACCATCAGTGATACATCCACAATAGGAAATTCATATGAACTTGAATTACTATCTGAAGCCTTTCCCGAAAGTGCCTTTGTTTAAAAGAGAGAAAAACCTCATTCATTAAATGTCACGGGCCAGATTACTCTGTCACATGCTATGGCATCTCCATAACCACCTGGAATGCCATATGACTTGTTACTGTGTTTTACAGAATTCCTGCTTGTGGTGATCCCACTTCCTTCACCAAAGGCCCCTTATGTGCTGCTGTACTCCTTGCCTTCCAGATCCTCACCAATGCTTGACCTCACCTTACCCTGGTGTGCAGGAAGGCTGTAAGAGAAAGACACCCTCAGAGCTGGGAAGGGACATTTAGATCAGCTAGTCCAGGCAGTCCAAGCTGTGCTCCTATAGTAGTATAAGCAACCTCCATAAAGTTAGGGCTCGGAGAGGGCCAAGCCAAACTGGGGGTGCTCAGTGCCTCTACCAGCCTTCACACTGCCCTGCTTCAGACAAAACAGAAACGGGTTTGAAACTCAATGACCTAGTCCAATCCCTGTCCTTTCCAGATAAGGAAATTGAGACCTGAAAAGCTGACTCTCTAGATCCAAAGTGAATGAGAGCGGTGGGCATAAAATTGCTCTAGAAACAGATGATTTCTGGGAATCAGAAGCCCAGCTCTCATTTCTGGAGCAGGGCATTAAAGGGCAACCTAACTTTGTAAAGCTTTGGTTTCATTGAGAGATTTTGATCTTCCCAACGATGTGCTCAATACCTTCTTTTGATTCTCTACGTTTTTGGAACACAGCTTTGGAGTGTTGAGCAGGTTGTTTCCCGAAGAAATCCAGTGGCAACTTTCAGCTAGTACTTCTCATGGCAATGTGAGGCCAAGCACAGGGTACTATGGTGAAGACTATTTCTTGACTTTAGGCTTATCTTTAAAGTTTTTTTTTTTTTTTAAATTTTATTTTATTTATTTGACAGAGAGAGCACAAGCAGGGGGAGCAGCAGAGGGAGAGAGAGAAGCAGGCCCCCTGCTGAGCAGGGAGCCCCACTTGGGGCTTGATCCCAGGATCCTGGGATTATGACCCCAGCTGAAGGCAGATGCTCAACTGACTGAGCCACCCAGGCACCCCTAGGCTTTTATTTATTTATTTATTTATTTATAAATGTTTTATTTATTTATTCATGAGAGTCAGAGAGAGAGAGAGGCAGAGGGAGAAGCAGGCTCCCCACCTAGCAGGAAGCCCAATGCAGGACTCGATCCCAGGACCCTGGGATCATGACCTGAGCTAAAGGCAGACACTTAACCATCTGAGCCACCCAGGCACCCGGACCCCTAGGCTTATCTTTAGTTCATAGCTCCCTTCCCACCTCACAGGCAAGACCATGATGAAATGATAAACATGCCTAACCCATGCCTGGTGGTTCGTGGATGACTGCTTCTTGACTTGCGGTGTTGGAGATCCTTGCTCTCACTCCTCCACCTGCCTAACCTCATCTCTCTGTTAGACCCTCCCGCCCCACCCTGGACTCTAATATGCAACTGTCTACTTGACATTTCCACTTGCTTGTGTAATAAACATCGAAGACTTAACATGACCAAAAGCGAATTTCTGATAGTCCCTCCCAAACTGATTCCACCTGAGCACTTTTCCTTACGGTTAATGCCAATCTTAACCTTCGGATTACTCAACCCAAGACCTTCAGAGTCATCCTTGCCTCCTCTCTGTCTCATCCACTCTGCCAGCAAATCCTGGATCTGACCAGTTCTCACTACCTCCACTGTTACCACCTTGGTCTGAGCAACTACCATTTCTCTCCTGTCTTGCTTCAGGAGCTTCCTAACTTGGCTTCTTTCTGCCTTTCCAGCCCATTTCAGTCTATTCTTAATAAAGTAGTCAGAGTGGATCTACCTCTTCCAACACACCCCTCCAATTGCCAGACCCCAGACACAGCCCTTCAAGCCACACCCTTCCAATCACGCCCCCCCGCCCCTTCATGCCTCCTCTCCCATGGTCACCCCTCCACGCCTCACCCCCTTACACCTCTGGCCTTATCTCTACTACTTTTTCTCCTGGTCACTCCACTGCAGCCACATCAGCCTCTGGGCTGAGCCGCAAACTCCCTTGGCTTTGCTTCTGATTTAGGGCATTTGACTCTGCATGGATCACTCCAGCCAGATTTCTAACTCCCTCACACCTCCAGGATTTTGCCCAGATGTCACTTTCTCAATAATCATTCTAGCTAACATGGGAAAACCCCACACATACCTCTCCCCACCCAATCTCGCATCCGGATACGCCCGGGAATATTTCTAAGTGGGAAGACGCTGGAGGAAGCGCTCAGAACTCTCAGAACTCTCGCGAGAACTGTCGCCTGAACTGGGTGTCGGGAAAACCCGTGGCTCCCTTCGCCCTGGCTTCCTGGCGGCCCTAGGCAGTGTTGGGACGTGAACCAGCGGCAGGAGTCGTCAGAGCTCTGGCCGCCTTCCTCAAAGAGTTGGGGAAGCCGAAAGCCCCTGAGCTGGTGGACACTGTCAAGCTGGGGGGTGGGTGGGGTGCCTAAGGCGAAGCGGGCTTCTGGTCAAGAGAACTGCTTCCGCGCGGAGCTGTGTGCCCGGAGCGGCACCTGTCCCTCCCGGGTGATGCCGGCATGGGCTCGATGACCTGGGTTTGCTGGGGACGACAGCGACACTGCGTCTTGCCCAGCCACTTCAGCCCGGGCTCCAAGCCCTGGCGGGGCTGGAAATGGTGGAAAAGGACATCTGAAGGACAGGGAGAGCCAGACAGGATCGCCGGACAGGTAATAGCGGCGGGGTTAGTAGATTGCCTCATCGGGAAGGGCGCAGAGAATAGCTGGGGTCAAAGTATACGTACTTAAATTTTACCCAACTATTACCAAACCCACCATCCAGAAGGATTCTGCTAATCTGCGTTCTCACCACCAGTGTGTTCTTTACTCCAAACTCTTTGAAAACACGGCATTATCATGAAAAAAATTCTCTGCCAGTCCCATAGGCAAAGAATTATATATTATTGTTTTAGTTTATATCTTTAATTACTATTAAGTATGAACATCTTTTTACATCTTTATGGATAATTTGTGATTTTTACTTCAGGGAATTGTCCTTTGTCTATATTTTTAAGTTGTCAAATTATAAAAGCTCTTTTTAAATTAACCATTTCTTAGTAATAAACCTTGCACCTGATTTACCTTTTATTTATTTATTTTTTAAGATTTTATTTATTTATTTGAGAGAGAGAAAGAGGGTGAGAGAGAGAGCATGAGCTGGGGGAAGGACAGAGGGACAAGCAGACTCCCACTGAGCGAGGAGCCTTTTGCCAGCTGGATCCCAGGACCCTGAGATTATGACCTGAGCCAGAGTCAGATGCTTAACCGACTGAGCCACCCAGGAGCCCCAACTTTTTATCTTATTTTTTGGTGTTTTGCTGGTCATGAAAGTTTTAAATGTTTAGATAGTCAACTATGTCAACCTTTTATGAGATAGAATTTGTTGTCTTGCTTAGAAAAGTGTCTCTCACCCCTTCTCATATGAATATTTATCCATATTTTCTTCTAAGTTTTCTATGATTTTTATCATTACATTGAAATGTTTCTGTAATCTGGAGTTCATTCAGGTTTGATGTGTGGTAGCTTGCAAAAATGGCTACAGTTCTCCACCCTTCTCAGCAGGCACCCCTCTCTGTAATCGGGTATCGCAGTTCTGCCCAGGAGGAGGTGGAATCCGTTTCCCAACCTCTTTAGTCTGGGCTGGCCTTGTGACTCTCTGTGACCAATCGAACGAAGTGGGAGTGACCATGTGCCAGTTCCAAGACTAGACCTTAAGAGGCGTTTCGTGCTTCTGCTTGCTCTGTCAGCCACCCTGTGAGTAAGCCTGCGGGTTGAGGAGCTGCAGTGGTCCTTTGCTTTCCATCACTCAAGCTGACAGCAAGCCGACTTCAGAGATGTGAGTGAGGTTCTCTCAGACCAGTTGGTCCCTAGCTAAGGAAACAGCAGAGTGGTAGCTGACAGCAACAGACATATGCATGAGCCCAGCCAAGACCAGAAGAGCTGCTTTTCTCTGTCCAGCCTGAGCTGCTGACGCACGGAAAAGTGGACTAGATACACTGTTGTTGTTTTTAAAGCCCCAAAGGTTTGGAGCTTGCCTGGTTAGATAGCAAAAGGTAACTGATGCATGAAGTAGGGAATCTCATTTTATTTATCCAGAGGTTAGCATGTGGTCTAACATTGTCACTGAATAGTTCATCTTTTCTTCACTGATTTGAAATGTCACTTTTATTCCAAATACATTGTCTTGGTCCTGCCTCCAGGTTCTCCATTATATTCTATTGATTAGGCTGGCCTTTGTGTAATAGCCTTGCTCAGTGTGTTTAAATATCTCGAAGGATAGGTCTCACTTGGTTACTCTTTTTTCCTACAATTTTTAGCTATTGTTGTATTTTTATTCTTCCAGATAAACTTGGTATTATTTTTCCATATTCCAAAAAAAATATGTTGGCCTTTTGATTGGAGTGGTATTAAACATATAACTTGAAAAGTATTGACATTCAGAAGATACTGAACTGCCTTATGTAGAAACACAATATTTTGAATCATTTAAGTCATATCTTATATATTTCAGAAGAATTTTATTGTTTTCCTCATGTAGCTTTCTCACATTTCTCTTTAAGTTGGTGTTTTTTATATTTTTAATTTTATATTAAATATAGGTTATTTTTTCATTATATTTTTTCTTTGATTATTTTTGATATTTAGGAAAACTGTTGATCTTGATGTATTAATTTTGTAACTGGCCACCTTCCTGAACTCTGATTATTTGAAAAAAAATGTTTAAAGTTGGGTTTTTCAGCTATACAAATCATATTGCAAATAATATTTTTTCTGCTTTCCAATATTTTCCTCTCTATTTTGTATTTGAAGCTTATTAGCCATCACAGAATAATGTTAGAGAATAGTGGTGACAGGGTCACCCTTTCCTGAATCTTGTTTGTATTGTTTTCTTTAAATAAGACAGTACCTCTTTAAGGGCAGGGTCCATGTTTGGTCTTTTATTCTTTCTCCCTTAATTCTTAGCACAGTGCCTTGCTTATTTATATGTGACGATAAACACATATTTAGTAATTCAAGGATCACACACTCACTGCTGACCTTCCCTGTGTCAGACGTTGTACTAGGTAAGTGGTGTGTGAAGATTAAGAGGAGGTTCCCCAGCTTCAGGGCTCTTTTAGTCCATTCTATTGTATGGGTTTTGGAATTAGATAGAACCAGGGCCAAACCTTGGCTTTGTGTCTTATCAGTGGTGGGACTTTAAAAAAATGTATGTCACCTTTCTAAATTTCAGTTTTATCTACCTGAAAATCTGGAAGTTAATAGTAATGCTCACATGAATTTGTTGGGAAGATTGAAATAGTTGTGTAGAAAAGCATATTGAAGGAGTTCTGAGTAAATGAACAGAAATAGAAATTCAGGAAAAGCCACCAAGGTATGGGGTGCGTGGGTGGGGGAGTATGGGCTCAGATTTGGACATGCTAAATTATAAGTACCTGCAGAACTCTAAATGGAGTTCTGTGTTTGGCAGTTGAATAGACAGATCTGGAACTTGGAGAGATTTAAATTTATGACTGTGCTACTTAGGTCCTTAATGTTTCAAAGACAAGAACATCACTCTTGCCATTACAAAAAGGGTGTTTGGGGGGAGGTAGGGAGGACATGCATATGAAGCTAAACTGAAGGTGGAAAGCTACCACATGGAGGCAGCTCAAAGAGGAAGGAATTATCAGGAGAGGCAAGTGCCATGGAGTAGTCCAGGGAACTTTGGGTGACAAAATGCACTGATGTCAGCATTCAGTGCCCTCTCAGGCACAGCTCCGCTGGAGGGGTGCGAGTGGAAGCCTGATTGCAGTGCAAGTGGGAGGTGAGAAAGGAGAGAAGAGCTCAGCAGGGAGGACAGAAGGAAGTGCATCGCTGTCCATTGGCTTGTGGCTGGTTCATCTTCATTGTTGGGGTTCAGATGTGTCTCTGGGAAAGTCTTCTGAAGGTGGCTACATCTGCAGCCTATTTCTAATAGGGCCTGAGACACCCCTTTGGCCGGTAGCTAACAGAATGTAGCTACCAACAAGAGAGAGGATCTCCCCACTTCATGATGGAGTGCAACCACACTGAGGATTCCAGAGAATGTAGAGCATCTCTGGCTTTTCAAGGCCTCGGAACATCAGACCAGCGGACAAGGTGTTTATTAGCAGCATAGGCTATAGTGTGTGGCAAATGGGATAGTACCCAGCAGCAGAATCATTGGTTCCAGGCATAACCATGACAGCCAATGACAGTAGCAGTGGTTGGAGGATGCAGAGGTCCCTGGAAGAAATGACAAGTGCTTTCCAGAGGAGGCAGTTCCCAGTGGGTGTGGTGGTGCCTTATGACATGAGAGGAGATGGTGACTGGGGCTCCTCATGACACCTGACTGGGCTTGCTTGTTAGTACATTTGAGACAGTCCTTGGGGATTCTCAGGAAATATGCAAGGGGGCTTTGAGGGGTTTAGAGTTCTATATGGCAGGTTAAGTATAGGAGCCAGCAAAATATGGTATTGAGTTTTCCTATGTTCCCTTGTATACCCATGAGCTAGGGTGTTCCCAAGGCAACATGGGTTGCCAGGTGAAGGAATTGTTCTTAAATAGGCCATAGAGCCCTAGTGGAGCAAGGCAGTTTACAACTGTCTCTGGGATTGTTTGTGCATTCCATTTTAGTGACACACACACGTTTCTGGGATTAAATAATCTGGGAAACAGTGGATTAAATAATGTTGAATGGGTGTTCTTTTTTCTTTTTAAGAGTTATTTATTTATTTTAGAGAGACTGTGTGTAAGAGCAAGTGAGCACATGAGCAGGGGGGAGGGGCAGAGGCAGAGAATGAGAGAGAATCTCAATCTCCCTGCTAAGTGGGAAGGCTGATGCAGGTCTCCATCTCAGGACCCTGAAGATCATGACCTGAGCCGAAACCAAGAGTCAGGGGCTCAACTGACTGAGTCACCCAGGCACCCCAGAATGGGTGTTCTTCTTCTTTTCTTTCTTTCTTTCTTTTTTTTTAAATTTTATTTATTTATTTGACAGAGAGAGAGATAGCAAGAGAGGGAACACAAGCAGGCGGAGTGGGAGAGGGAGAAGCAGGCTTCCTGCTGAGCAGGGAGCCCAGTGCGAGGCTCGATCCCAGAACCCTGGGATCATGACCTGAGCTGAAGGCAGATGCTTAATGCCTGAGCCACCCAGGCGCCCCCTGAATGGGTGTTCTTAATAGACTCTTTCATTCGGGGTCTCTCGTGTCCTGGTCTATTCAAGTCATATTCATTGAGCAGCTACCAGTGGACGAGGTGAATACCACAGACATGGTCCCAGCAGTCTAGACGGGGAAACAATACAAATATAGATTGTGAATCTCAAGGGGGAAGGGTATTCAGCATTCCCCAAATTTACACCATGAATCTCTTTAGGAGGAACACGGATTAGCAGCTCTCGTGTTCTATGGAGTGCAACTTGGGCGCACCGTGCGGCATCAAAGGAAAAGAAGTGGGGAGGAAAGCTGCAAGGGTGTGGTATGGCTGTCTGGTCTCTAAGCAAAGGACGTGAAACTAACAAATGAAAGATAAAGAAAGAAACAATATACACCATAGAAAGTGTTTATAAATGAACAACAAATCTCAAATTGGGATTAAGTGACAGGAAGGAGATTTTGAATTGCCCTACTCCTCCAGAGCCCTGAGAAGGACCTCTGTAATACAAAGAGCTG